GGGGGGGGAGGGGGGCATATAAGAACTACCTTTACCCAAGGGAGCTCAGTATCAGAGTTTTCAGCCCTGATGATGCAAACTGCAACGTTTGCGAAACGTCGGCATATCGCTGATTCAAGACACGACTCCATACCGGAAGCTATACCTAGACACTCGTTATAAATATTTAATTTTTTATCGATTAAGGCATTATAATCATTATCCAGCTGAAATGTAAAAAACAATAAAATATAAAATTGAAAAAAATGAATTTTTTATTATACGTACAAGCACGTAACCAAATTCCTGTTTAAGCACTGGATATTCTTTAAAAATGTCATAAACGTTTCCTGTATGTTGCTTTATAAAATCTTGTCTTAGTTCACGAGATTTATCCCAATGTTCTTTTACAGCCGACCAAGGTGTTGTATTATATCGTAACCATTGCATGTGTGTTTTACAAGCATGTTTAGCTATATTTACATTTAAATTTAGTAAATTTAATTCTGAACTTTTTTTAAGATCTTTTACAAGATATACTACTGTCACTTTGATTAAATTTATATCATATTTAAGAAAATATAATTTAAAAAAATAACTGTTTTATTGTTATATACGTACTTTCAGGATTAATGTGTAATTCAATATTTGAATCATCTATATTTTCGTCAGTTTTTTTCATTTTAATAAGTCCAATTTGTCGACATACATCGAGTTTATTTCGATAAAAATCCGGCAGTTTTCCTTTTGACACTTTTTGGGACGGTCCTTCAGATTTTGGTGGAACATAATAAAATGCTTGTTGCTCATTCGGAAACAAGGCCCTGATTTTTTGTGATAAAACGTCGAAATTGCATTCAGCAAACGAATTCTATAAGCATTAAATCATATTTATAAAAATACATATTGATATAAAAACAGAATAAAAATATTTTTTATTAATATTTAGCAACATTACATTTCTATCTCATCATCAGATTTTTTAAATATAAATTAATTAATAAGAAGTTCGATTAATTTTCTACGTTTGGCTTTATCGAGTATGTCATGCTTCTCATAATGTTTAATAATAATTTGTCCATCTATAAAGCTTAGTAACAATTTTTTCAAATCCTATAAAAAAATACTTGTAAAATATTAATAACATTAATTAAATATTTATAAAATTATATTTTGCATAGAAATGTTATACCGTATTTTGAACTGATGCAGATTGATTTAAAACGTATAAAATTGTATTTTGATTGTTATCATCTTTTTTTGATACTTTCTTTTTGATGCTACATTCTCTTAAATTAAAATTATCATCTTCGAAACTTGATACATCTTCGATACTTGATGAACAGTTTAATGAATCTTCAAGAACATTTTTTGTGCATACGATGTCTGTAAACAAAAAAAACATTTCTGATTATATTTCTTTCGATTATTTTATGACTGCGATCGACTTGCTACAAATGCGGAGCGTTCTTCCTCTCTTTCTCTCTTTATTAAAAGTAAAGAGAAAAAATGCTTTGAAGCATTTGTAACATCAAGTTGGCTGCAATCTATATATATTGTGCAATTCAATTTATATCATATAATTTAATTTAGAGTTATAATATTTGTATTAACTATTTATTTATATATTTTATTATTTTAAATTTATTTATTTTTTTAACAAGTATTTTATTATAATATTATATTAATTATAATTATTATATTATTATATTTATTTATATTGCTATAATATTTTAACAAACATTTTTATAAATACCGAAGGTTGTGAATCACTGCAGGATAATTCTACTTTCTCAAAATTTTCTTTAGAAATTTCTTCTTTTTCTTTATAGATAGGAGGTAATCCTGTAAGGGATCTTGATAACTGTTGGCATGATTTTAATTGTTCCAGTTTATTATCATCTGAGGTTGCACGCGATTTCTCCTGTAAAAATAGTAATAATTTTTGTATACACTTTACTTCTATTTATTAAAATTAAAAAAAAAATTAAAATTGTGTTTTACCAATTTTATATTGTCTATCAATAATTTTCTTTTTTCAAGAAAACAACGAATTCCTCCAATTGTTGTTATTATACACTTCAGTCTCAGTTATATTTAGAAAAGCTTCCTTATCAATGTCTTCTTCTAAATTCAATAAGATATGAATATAAAATAAAAAAATTAATATTCTTTGACGATTTAATTTAAACCTAATTTTAATTGTAAATTACAATCAGTCATATTATCTTAATCAATGAAAAATATTCACCATATTAGAAAGTGCATTTTTTTTTCTGCCACCGATCTAAGATTGTGTGTATAACAATAAGAAACGTCTAACCGAAACAAATACCAATCAGTGTATTATTGTTCGAAAAAAAAACAGTAATCGTTATTCAATTATTTCACTTTCACAGTCTTGCTTAGCAACAAACTCTTTCTCTAAAAAGCGTATAAAGCGTATATAATATAGTATATTATAGTTTAATGACGAAATGTTACCATATTAAGGTTATGATCGAAAACTTCCTTTTCGAGAAAAATTTTACTCGAAATATATAGTACATGTAATATATACTATATTATATCGAATAAAACTTTCATTGGGAAATAAGGTTGTCTAAAGTAAACTCACAAAGCATGAATATGCATGCTGTGTGAAAAGCAAGATATCAATATATGCTATATTGTACTTACCAATAAATCGATGATATCATTTGGACAATTTCCATTCATTTAGCATTGTACGAATGAATTCTTCGTCAGCCATTATCACTTCACACTTATATCTGTATCACACACTTCACACATATCACTTATTACTGCGAAATCTCGCGTTAAGAGACTGTATGGGGCTATTACGTCAGTCGTAATGTTCCTAACCTTAATTCCTAACCTTAGTTGCTAACTTTAAGCGCCAATGGACTTCGTGCGCGTGGAGGGGATTGATTTCTCAAACGCGCGCGGGATCCTCTAGCGCAAGGTTTGACTGTATTCACTTTTAAAGTCAGGAAAAATTCAACACACGTAATTTTTATGATTAGAATAACATCTCTCTTGAACACTCTTAATTGGTATTGACTAAATCTCTTTCGACAATGACCATAAACTTATTTAATGATATACATCCCATTGGCGATCGCAACACTTGTGGAATTTCTTCTGTTTTTTATCGAAAACAAAGATAGGTAATGCTCACGAACATTGCGATCACAAATGGAACGCAGCCGAAGCAAGCGTATATAAACCTCACTATTGCCATTCGCTATTATTGTTCAATTACTGTGTGTGTGTGTGTATATATATAATTTATATATATATATATATATATATATATATATATATATATATATATACAGGGTGAGTCATTTTAGTCTATGGATCCGAATATCTTCCAAATTACGATATCTAAAAAAAAATGGTTTAGATAAAAGTTGACCAGGACAGAGGGGGTCATTCAATTGTACCATTGGTTTTGACCTTGAGGTCAATTTTGAAGGTTACTTCAAGGTCACGATGGTGTTTTCTAATGGGACACCCTATTTTTGACTGCGGATTTCGCAAGAGCGGAAAATTTTACATCAAACTTGTCTTAT